AACTACGTACTGCTTTGCAAGAGTACTGGTGGAGGTGGATATCCAGGAAAAATTGAAGGATGAAGTATGGTTTGAAGAAGAAAATAGAAATTTGCTAAAACAAAGAGTGGTGTATGAATGGAAGCCAATTAAGTGTCTAAATTGTAAAGGATTTGGACAAGGAACAGCTGAATGCAGAGCTCCTGTCATAAAAAATTGGAAAGAAAAGGAACACAAGCCTTAGGTGGAAGATAACACCACTGACGAAGGCAAAGCTGGATGATGGTTTTGTGGGTCCGTGAGTTTAGTATACCCAAATTTTAGTTAGTAGAAAAAAGTGTTCTTAGGGTTGGAGGGGTAGAAATTTATGAGTTTCTCGCATTCGGGATATGCGAAGAAACTGATGTTCGCATTTACCATATGCGAACAACCTTACGTAATTAATTAGTTAAACTTAAACAAATAATAAAGACAAATGAGATAATTCGAAGTGGGCCATCACCCAAAGTTCGCATATGCCGAATGCGAAAATAATAACCTGAATAAATTAAAGCGGAAAGAGAAAGGAAAGAGGAAAGTGTGGGCCATCACCCAGAGTTCGCATATGCCGAATGCGAAAATAATAACCTGAATAAATTAAAGCGGAAAGAGAAAGGAAAGAGGAAAGTGTGGGCCATCATAAGACTTTCGCATTCAACGAATGCGAACAGAAAAATATAGGTAAAAAAAACGAAATTATCTTTTTATCCTATTAAAATCTGACTGGTCAATAGCGTATCGACACGTGGCAGTTGCTGACAATTTGGATAAATGTTCGCATTTGGCGAATGCGAATGTGATGGCTAGACTCATAATTTAAAACTCATCACCCCCAATTCGGCAGAACTAAAATCATCAATTCTTCTTGCATTCAGTTGAAATTTTCATTCCGGTGGAAGAGGCGGAGCTGGAAAGAGCATTTTTCATATTGAAGGTTGGAAGGTTGGACTGCACGGGAGCAAGACAGAGGCAACCCATTTAGGTAAGTTTTTTTTCTCTATGAAATTTGTAAAATTTATACATTCTATTGTCATTTGGGGCTATTAATCTTGTTGTAGTGTACGAAATTACTAAATTTATTAATTTCGGTAGTTATTGAGAATTGGTTTTAGAAAATTTGCTTCAATAAATATATATTTGATGTAGAATGAAGAATAAAAATTATTTTTATAATGTGAATTGTTGAATTTTGTTGAATATTATGAGTTATTTTATTAATTTAGAGAATAACCCGGTTGATCTCGAATTTTTTGGTCTTTATTCATCAATTTTGTGAATTTTATATTCTGACCCAATTATTTGTAATGTTATTGATTTGACCCTGTTTTATTTGTTTTTATTTTGTTAATTTTGTATTTTATCAAATATATTGTGTAAATCTAAATTTATTAGTTTGATCAAAAATTGTTATTCTTTTAATTGAAAACCTTGTTATATAGATGTCGAATTATATTTTTTGAATAATTAAATTATGTTAGAGATTTTTCACTAAAGATAGGACTTATTGTTAGTTTTTGGAGTAAATTACTGCTAGTGAGGTAGAATATTGTTATAACAAGCATGAATTGATGTATTTCTATAGTAGGGAACAATGGGCTATTCAGTTTTCTGGAGAATTCAACCCAGTCCTTCAACCATGGCCACAAGCGACGTGGCATCTGAGGCCTGATGATACGTTACTCGTACACCATGCTGGCCCAGGTCGGAAGCGTGTGAATCGAAAGAAAGGACTTATGGATTATACGAAAAAATCTGGTAACAAGAGAGTTCAAGTTTGTGGTCGATGTCATCAAGAAGGCCATAATGCCAGTGCATGCGTAGTTGAGAAAGTTTGCGCGCGATGTGGAGGATTCGATCATGATACCTTCAACTGCGCATTCTCACATCCATCTTCAGACAGGACTCCTTTGAATCATTCTTACGATCGATATGGAATGCATGGTGTACCCCATATGTAGACTGATGATTCTGATGATCAATCTGCAGAATTCTGAGTAGGAATTCAAAGTTTGTGTTTGCGTAATAATCTGAATAATCTTTAAATAGTGGTTCTGGTAGTGTTTGTGTAATGGTTTGATTAATTCTGAGTTTGTATTTGTGTAATGAGTCTAAGAATTCTGAATTTGTATTTGGTATTGGTTTGTGTAATAATTCGAACAATATGCAAGTCTATATTTGTATTTGTGTACTGTCAAAGAACATTAGTAAATGTGAACATTAGTAAATGTTGTAGTTTCTAGACTGTTCCCGGGACCACGAATATTTCGCATAAAGGAAATGCGAACAATAAAAAGCTGTCCAGGTCGCACCACGTGGCGTCATCTCCTGGACTCCGTATAGTCGATTATTCGCATAAGGCAAATGCGAAAGTTTGTAATCTGGCCACGCGCGCCACGTGGCATCATCTGGGTTTAGTTCGCATACAGGAAATGCGAACAACTTCAGATCTAAATCTGAAGTACACTTCTCTCCCCGTCGGTTTTTCCCCGGTTTTCACCATTGAAGCCGGCGCCTCCTCGCTCCCCGTCGGTTTTTCCCCGGTTTTCAGCCATTGTTCCCGGCGTCGCCTCTTCCACAAAAGGTAGGTAAGTGTTTTGTACTTCATAATGCTTTGTTTATTTTCAGATTTATGTCGTGTTATTTCGTTTTTGTTCTAGTTTATTTATTCAATTGATTTCTTCGCATTTACGGCCGGCGAATTTAGATCGCCCGGAGTTGTTGTCGCCGGCGTTGTTGTTTTTGTTGTTGTTGTTGTTGTTGTCGGCCGGCGTTGTTGTTGTTGTTGTTGTCGGCCGGCGTTGTATTTTTTTTTTGTGTTTTATTTTTATTTAATGTAGTTAGGGTATTTGTATTATTTTGTATTATTTTTATTTAGTGTATTTGTTTTAGTTTGTATATATTTATTTAGGGTATTTGTATTTGTTTGTATTATATTTATCTAGTGTATTTGTATTTGTTTGTATTATTTTGTATTATATTTATTTAGTGTATTTGTATTTGTTTGTATTATATTTATCTAGTGTATTTGTATTTGTTTGTATTATTTTGTATTATATTTATTTAGTGTATTTGTATTAGTTTGTATTGTTTTGTATTATTTTTATTTAGTGTATTTGTTTTAGTTTGTATATATTTATTTAGGGTATTTGTATTAGTTTGTATTATATTTATTTAGGGTATTTGTATTATTTTGTATTATTTTTATTTAGTGTATTTGTTTTAGTTTGTATATATTTATTTAGGGTATTTGTATTTGTTTGTATTATATTTATCTAGTGTATTTTTATTTGTTTGTATTATTTTGTATTATATTTATTTAGTGTATTTGTATTTGTTTGTATTATATTTATCTAGTGTATTTGTATTTGTTTGTATTATTTTGTATTATATTTATTTAGTGTATTTATATTAGTTTGTATTGTTTTGTATTATTTTTATTTAGTGTATTTGTTTTAGTTTGTATATATTTATTTAGGGTATTTGTATTAGTTTGTATTATATTTATTTAGGGTATTTGTATTTGTTTGTATTATATTTATCTAGTGTATTGTTTTGTATTATATTTATTTAGTGTATTTGTATTTGTTTGTATTATTTTTATTTAGGGTATGGAGACGGGATCATCATCGTCTTCGTAGTCTAGACAATATGACCTCCAGCAGGGTCCTATAGATAAGAGTTTATTGGTCCTTCATGATGATCATAGGTCATTCCATACATTTAGGGGTAATACGGCTTATTTGAAAGAACTTTCCGCATACCGAGTGGATACTGACCTATGGACTGAACTAGACAAGGCTGCCCCACAGATACATGCCCAAATAGCAAAGTTTGGTCTAGGGCCTCTTTTCGAATTGGTTCCATTAAGTTAGATTGGGCCCTCATTACAGCCTTAGTTGAGCGATGGCGGCACGAGACCCATTCATTTCACTTGCCTATCGGAGAGGCGACGATTACTCTACAGGATGTCGAGGTCCTTCGGGTCTGCGGGTTGATGGCCATGCGGTGGTCCAGGGACAGTACCTCCGCAGGATGTGGAGTGGGCCGATTATTTAGAGAGTCTGTTTGGATTCGGCGGCGTCCTAAGGCCACGAAGGATAAGGTAGTAAACATCACGAGATATAAAGAGACACATTATGACTAATCTGCTACCGGAGATGCTACAGAGGATATGTACCTTCGGCGGGCACGTTGTTTTGTCGGATGGATTTTAGGAGGGTTATTGTTTCTGATAGCAGCAGAAGCTTGATTTTCCCCGGGCTGGTGGGGTATTTGGAGGATCCAAATACATTTCGGGAGTTTAGTTGGGGTAGTGCTACACTGGCGTGGTTGTACCAAAATCTATGCACTTCCTCGGTGATCACATTGTCCGGACAGGTATTTGTGGTGCTTACTACTCTTACAGGTAATTTCAAACCGCCCTTGTATTTGTATTTGATTGTTAGTTTTTTATTCATTTTATTTTAATTTTTTTCGATTTATTTTTATTTTTCTTATTTGTAATTTTTTGTTAGAATCCTAATATTTATAATTGTATTTTATTTTTAGTTTTTTAATTATTGTATTTGTATTTTTAATTTCACGTATTATTTTATTGCAAAATAGTTATGGGCTTGGGAGCGAATATTGACTTTCCGTCCGGAGTTACGTGGGCCTGTACCAGATCTTCAGGGGTGTCCCTTGGGCAGGAGGTAATTAATTTTTAACTATTCAATAATTATCTTAATTAGTTATATTTTTTAATAATTTTTTTTCGTTTTTTCAATCAAAACTATATTTTTTTGTAGGTGGAACCGTCCTAGAAAAGTGGGAGACATCACACGATTTAATCTAACCGCCTATCGAGACCAGCTTGCGGTTTTGCAAGAACATAATGTAAGTATTTTTTATTTGAACCATCATAACGTATAAATCAATTTATTTTTTTTCTTATATATTCACATAAATTTTTTGTATTATCTGTCCCTCTACAGTTTGTTTGGATGCCGTATTCTCCTGCTATTCTAGCAGACATTGATCCATCTTGCTCTGCCGGCTCCGCCATATGGATGTCCTGCACTTGGCTGCTTTATTTTGGTATCCGAGAGCCACACATCCCAGTGTGGTGTTGCGCCGTTCGGCTTCTTGCGGCGGGTGCCCGACAACACTTTCATCATGGAGAAAAAGAAATAGAAAAGTTGCATAAGGAGACGCGTGGTAAGAAATGTCGAGATGACGTCTTACGAGGTGGGAGAATCGACACAACACCCTTGCAGGTCTTCATCAGACGGATATGACTCTTGAACCCCAGGCAGCACCGGAATATCTAGTGTGGTATCAAAATCACACTGTCACTTTGGTCACCAATCCATCGACTATCGTCGGCCCTGTGGTTTTCGTGGATCTGTGAGTCACTACATATAATGGTAAGTTACGTTCTACTATTTCTTTAATCACACCCATATTAATATGATTTTTATACATATAACTTTCTAAAATGTTATTTCCTATTTTTAATTTACCATATATATGTTCATTTATAAAATATATTTATTATATATTTTTAATTTACCATATATATTTATTTCCTTTTATAATTTTCAGGCCAATTTAGTGCAAAACATGCGGCATATTACTCTAGATGGGCTACAACGTAATCCAGTTGATTCTTGGAATCACAATGCCTTCCTACAGTTGCACGATTTGACACAGCAGGCAATGACTGTCAGCAAGACATCTGTTTGGGCTGATAGTGAGAACCCAAGCCAAGATTTTGTTCCAGCTGACCCAACCCAGGAGTATATCCCACCTAGGCCTCCCAGGACTGACCGAGGCGGCTTCCAGTTAGGGAGTGGGAGAATGAGAAAACCTGTGGCCACCCAGAATACCGGCGGGCAATCTTCTACCCCCCATGTGTCTCCTTACCGTCCATCATCGCCACACCACCATCCCTCTCCTCCTTTTGAGCAAATGCATTTTGATTTAGATTTTATTAATCTAGATCCTAATGCTGGGGGTTTCTTTCAGACTAGTTACGAGGGTGGTCATCATAGTCAGCATCTAGGTGGTGACGATATCCATCATGATCAGGAAGATGATCAAAATCATGAGGATATTGGGGATCAGGAGCATGATGATGATGCTGATGATGCTGAGCATTCCTCTCATGATCATTATGAGGGCGCTGATCAGGGATAGGGCCCCAGTGATGGTACCATGCCTTTTACACCGATTGCTTTGGGTAAGGGACAGCGGAACATAAAAAAGAAGAAAAAGTCTGCATGATGATTCTCGGAGAAAAAGCGCAAGATGTAGAACTATTAGATTGAATTGTACTTTTATTTTATGCTATTTTATGACTTTTGTTATTAGTTTTAAGCAATACCTTTCATTTATTTTCATTAACAATTTATTTCGGTTTTATTTAATCTTTAAGATAAAAAAAAAACTTTAAAAGGCAAACATTAAAGAAGAAAATTTCTCAAAAAGACAATATTATGTACAATTTTTTAACTTACTTTTATACAATACTATCTTTTCGTCGTGCCAAATTCAAGTTTCCATGTCGCCAAAAGATCATTGTTAGAAGGAAGTGTGGTTTTATCAAGTTTAGCGGGACTGATTATGTCGATTCTAAAAATTTAGTTTTTTCCTTACTTTAAATGAATTGATTCTAAGTTTTATTATGTAAAAATATTATTATCCTAAAATTAATAAACTTGATTTTTGACATTATATTTTTAATGATGGTAAGTTTTTAAATTGAAATCAAATAAAAGTCATTTTTTTAAAAGCAAACTTGGTTACGTAACGCAAGATTATATTCTAATTTTTCACCGAAATTTTAATTTACTTCTTATTCAAATTTTATTATAAATGCATTATACGATTTTGTTCACCAAATATAATTTTTAGGATTGCAATTCTATTTAGAACTAACATAAATTTACTTAAATCAAATGAATACTTTTAATTTAGAAAATTTAATTTTCAATTAAAATAGTATTTTTTTGTTGAAATATTACAACATTTTATCAACCAAAATATTTAATTTACAACATTTCATTTTAATACCAATTTAAAGTTAGGAAACAATTTTTAAATGCAGATTTAATACGTTCGCATATGCCATATGCGAAAAGTTAGATTTCGCATACCCCAAATGCGAAGGATTAAATTAATTATAATTATCCAGTTTTAATCCAACGTCTTTAATGCATTGTAATTAATCCATTACATTTTCGCATTTGCTGAACGCGGAAGTTGATTTTTTCGCATTTGCCAAATGCGAGAAACATATTTCTTTCTACCTCCAAAAATCTAGCCATAGTCCTGCTTACACTACTAATTTGGGAGTATATTTGTGTCATTTTTCGATGGTTTTGTAATAGTGGGCAGGAAAGTCCAGTCAAGAAATGGCAAGAAGATGAGAAGAATGAAGTAGATGAGGTACAAATTATAAAACAAAAAGGATTCAAAGTTGCAGAAGCCAGGAAAACTGATAAAATGAAATCTGCGAACAACAGTTGTTATCAGGATACTAGTCACCCTTTAATAGGCCTAGTCAGCATGAATAACATCATATCATGGAACATAAGGGGACTTAATAGTCCCCTGAAACACAGAGAGGTGGACAACTACCTTTCTATAAATAGTGTTGGAGTTGCTGGAACATTGGAAACAAGAATGAATGAAGAAAAAGTCATGGAGGTGATGAAGAGAAAATGGCATATGTATGAGTATGTTAGTAATAATGAAGGCCAAAATAAAGGAAGTATACTGGTAATATGGAGGAAGGGGGAGTATCAAATAAAAGATGAGAATACTGATCATCGGTATATTCACTGCTTAGTCCTGGAGAGTGAAACTAAGAGATGCTTCTATTTGACTATAGTATATAATGCTCAGAGGAGAGGATTATTATGGAATGACCTTAAACATTTAACATCCACGATAAAAGGAGCTTGGATGATGATTGGAGACTTCAACTTTGTGATGAATGCAGAAGAAAAACTAGGAGGAGTTAATGAAATCAGTGTTGATACAGAAGATTTCAAAAATATGATAGAGGAAAGTGAATTATGGGAAATATAGACTCAAGGTGGAAGATACACATGGTCAAATAAGCAAGTAGAAGATCAAAGAATTGTCTCTAAGATGGATAGAGCATTAATAAATGAGGAATGGTTGAATCAGAATCCTGAGGCATATGCAACAATACTAGCAGCTGGAATATCAGCTCATAATTCACTAGTGATCAGATGGGGAGAAGAAGTGAAGAATAAAAAGAGAGCTTTTAAGTTCTATAACGTGTGGTTACATTATCCTGGGTGCAAAGCAGCAGTAGAGAAGGTGTGGGAAAAGAATATAAATGGTACTAGGCAATTCCGCTTTACTCAGAACCATAAAATGCTTAAACCTAAACTGAGAGAACCCAACAGGAAAAGATTTGCAAATATAGACATAAAAGAGTTGGAATGTAGAGTGCAGTTACATAAAATACATGAAATGTTAAAAGAAAACCCTTTAAATGAAGCCTTATAGAAAGAAGAGAAAAGCAACTACTGAATATGTACAGACCAGTAAAGCTGTGATGAGTTTTTGGTCACAAAAACTAAAGGACAATTGGATTAATGAAGGTGATATGAACACATGATATTTTCATGCAGCCATTAAACAGAGAAGTATAAGGAACAAGATTAGATCATTTACCAATACTCAAGCAGAATTGATGAAAGACTACACTAAAGTTGAGACACACTTTATGGATTACTATCAGGAGCTATTGGGAAAGAAGGTGAATAGATCATCAGCTATGGGTGATGTTTTCAAGTCAGGGATCAAACAACTGTAGACCAACAGATTCTTATGACTGAAAACTTCTCTAAAGCTTATGTTAAAGAAGCTTTATTTTAGATTGACATAGATAAAAGCCATGGACCAGATGATTATGGAAGTGGATTTTATAAAAAGCTGTGGCAATTGGTAGGTGATGATTTCAGTGATGTTGTGCTGGAATTCTTCCAAACAGATAAGATACTGAAGCAAATAAACTCAACACTTATATCATTAATACCAAAGAATGAATGTCCAAAGGATGCAACTGAGTATATGCCAATCTCTTGCTGTAACATAATATATAAGTGCATTTCTAAAATGTTGTGCAAAAGGTTGAGTAAGGTACTGCCTGGTTTGATAGATCTGGGATTATTTGTGAAGGATCGGCTGCTCTTGCATAATATATTGCTAGCACAGGAGTTGATCAGATCGCATAAGAGGAAAAATGCTGAGCCTAGTTGTCTAATGAAGGTGGATTTAAGGAAGGCTTATGACTCAATACACTAGGGTTTTATAGAGGAAATGCTTCTGTCTAAACAGGTTTGTTCAATGTGTTGTGACACGTGTTACTACTTGCAGTTATTCATTAAATTTAAATAGACCCAGCACCGATTACTTTCAAGGGCAGAGAGGGTTAAGATATGGTGATCCTATATCCCCATTAATCTTTGTAATGGTGATGGAGTACTTGACAAGACTGCTGAAATTGAAGCTTGGAATGAGAGGTTCAAGTGGCATCAACATTGTGAAAAACTGGAGCTAATGTCTTTAAGCTTTGTAGATGTTCTATTGCTATTTTGTGGACCTGATATCAAAATTGTTAAAGGAGTGAAGGAAGCACTGGAACATTTTGCAAGCACCACAAGATTACAAATCAACCTGAAAAAATCAAACTTATATTTTGGAGGGAAGGTGGAGAATGTGCAGGATCAGATACAAAAAATCATGAGTTTTGAGGCTAGAGAATTCCCTATGATATCTAGGGCTGCCAATCTCTCCAACAGTATGGTCAAAAGGAGAATGCTAATGCCTAGTGGACAAAATCACTGCAAGGATTAAAAGCTGGTCCTCAAGACATCTGTATTATGCTGGTAAAAAAACATTGATAACTGCAGTCCTGATGACACTCCATAATTATTCGGCAAGTGTGTTCTTGATTCCTCAGAGAGTCATTCAGCAAATTCAATTGTTGCAGAAGATTTCTGTGGGGTGTTAAAGAGAATGGGAAAAGCTAGGCATTAGTAGCTTGGGAGGATATATGTAGAACCAAGTCAGAGGGTGGCCTAACAACAAGGAACCAGGAATGTGGAATAAGGTTATGATAGGAAAGCAACTATGGGACTTGGAACATAAAAAGGAAAGCTTATGGATCAAGTGGATGCATATATACTACCTTAAAATGTATAGAACCATGATCTTCTAGCAGATTGCAGCTGGCATTGGAAGAAGTTAATGAAGGTTAGGAATCAACTAAGAGCAGGAGTTAACAATGGCAGATGGACTGGCGATGGGAAGAGGAAATATACTACAGGATCTAGATACAGATGGCCAAGGGGAACAAAAGATAATTACAAGTCTGCTTCAATCTCCTGGAGTAGATTTGCCCATACCAAAACACAGCTACATAAGTTGGGTGGCATGGAAAAAGAGACTTTTGACGTGGACAGGCTGAAAAGGATGAATATGGAAATATTGGATGACAAATGTGTGATCTGTGCGAATGAGGAAGAGACTGTGCAACACCTATTCTTCAAATGTATGTATGCAAAAGATATGATGCAGTAGCTGCTGGACAGGATGGCTGTATACAACAGGATTGAAGATCTTCATGTCAACAGAATATATATGAAAGTAAAGAAGGCTGAGAAAGGTGTTCTAAGATGGAATGAATGCTCTCATTTATCACTTGTGGATGGAAATAAATTGTAGGAATTTTGGAGATAAGAAGGAAACAGTGCAAAATAGAATAGTGATGCTTCAAGATGATCTGAAATGTAGAATCAAGAAACTATATAGGCATGGTAGTGGTGATGACATTCGGTTCCTAAACAGCTTAGGAATCAACATGTAAATATCGGAATGGAAGTTGTAGATAACTTATTGAGGAAGTAATAAAAATTTATAGTTTACCCAAAAAAGGTTTATTAATGCATGCTTACTTCTTGTTGACACTAATTTTAAGGACCTGCGCCAAATTCTTGAAAGCTCGCATGTAATTTCAATCTATAATTGGTGGGTAATGTGGATGTAATACATAAGACTTCTATATTGGTCAATATATTTACAATAAGAATTTTAATGTGAAATAAGTGCTAACTTATTTTTCAAGTTTGAAAGGATTAATTTTAATACCCTTATCTCAAGTTCACAACGGTTAAACAAGACTCTTTTGAAGAAGTCAAACGTGGGTACTGTCAGGCAGTCAAATCCGACTACAAGTTAATCAAAGACTAATACAGGTAAATTGGTCTACCCTCCCGAATATATTACTGTACTAGGCAAAGTCCAATACGGATAAGCGAAGCCGAATTCAAGTTAGTAATATTTGATAAATTATCGGACCAGTTAAAATCCATCCTTTGGTAATCGGGTGGATGGTGACCCAGTGTACGGGACGACAGTTAGCCGGACTGCAGATGAATGGCGGGATCGATGTGAGGCTTATTTGGGATTCCGGTCATCCCAAGTAAATGGCCAATGTGTCAATGTTGGTATTTTCGAAGATGAGATGGGCCGCACACTCCCTGAGAATTCCACTGTCCATCGATTTGAGCAAAGGGCCCGGACACTTATACTGCATTTTATTAGCAGTTTCATGTTTCCTAACAAGATGCAAAACACTGTCAATCTGCAGTTCTTGGCCCAGGTTGAGGATTTGGATCAGTGTAGTCGATACAGATGGGGATCGGCACTGCTGGCTGGTTTGTACTCTGAACTGTGCGAGGCATCACAGTACACCATGCATGACGCCACTGGCTGTCTATATTTGCTACAGGTATGTATTAGTTTTCAATTGGTGTTATAATCATTTTCCGCTTTCGACGTTATAATTTGAAGTTTTAACATTATTATTGAAATTTACTAGGTATGGGTGTATGAGCTGATCAAGAGAATCGTGCCACAAAGAAAAGGAGTAGATTATTTGATTGATGAGACCGCTCCATTAGCTCAGCGGTACGTATTTTCAGTTCAAAATAACTCAATGTTTATTTCTATTTGTTTCTTATTCATTTTTTTTACTAATTCAAATGTACCCCTTTGTTCATTAAGGTGGGAATGTAGGTACACCTACGGAGACGCCCCAAGGAGCACCACCCCACCTTTTAGAGATCAATTAACAAGCCTGCGTGTTGAAGATGTAAGTACTTGTAATTTGGTATTTATATTTACTTTGAATTTCTTTTTGTTCCGGTTATACCATCTAATGAAATTCTTTTTGTGCAGTTTCGGTGGCAACCATATGCACAGGTCCTTCATAGACTCCCTGATTCTGTACACAAGGCCAAGCCATTTGGACGACCAGGTGTTGGATGTTCTGTTGGGCTATTAGGGAACCCCACGAGTCGGGCAAAGTTGTGAGACAATTTAGATACATACAGGATGTTCCCAAGTGTCCTATGATTAAAGATAATGCAGCATTCCTTCTCGATCACGCCCACAGTATGTCTAGGTATCCTAGCAACAATTGGGTGGACCACCATTCCGCAGTACGTCGTCATTGGAATAGGAGAGAAGAGTACGTGCTACGAGATTTGGAGGAAGGAGACCCTGGCTCCGCATATGAGGGGTACTATGAACGGTTCATGGTTAACACTGTCAGACTGATATCTAATCCCAAAAATTATGAACCTCAAGGATACGAGACTTCTTCAAGCCGAGTGAAATTATATGTGAGTTCATTCTATATTTTTTTTTATTATTTCTTATGTTTTCATTTTATATTTTTTAGAATTTTACTCTCTTAATTAACGTCCCAATTTCTTTTCAGGGTGAAGTATTGAACAACATTCGCGTGAGTACCGAGAAGTTTAGAGAAAAGCGAGAAGATGAGAATCTCCTAGACGAAGAACTCGACAAGCATTTGGACGATATCATCAATCAAACACATGCTGCTTTAACCCTGGGCGCAAATGATGAGATGGAAGTGGAGGATACCCAAATCCTAGTTGATGAAGATCCATCTTTGCCCTCACAACCTCCGCCGGGTAAAAAAACAAAACCGTGGTCGAGAGATAAGATTGGAGGAGGAAGAAAGAGGAAGGTCCCGATCTCCCCTCGGACATCGTAACAACAAACTGAGGGTCAACAAAATGAGGATCAAGCACATTCTTCTCGAGGCTCGCGCATCCAGGTCGAGACTCAATTTGAAGGCATTGGTGGAACCGAGACTCAGTTTGACCTTGGTGGACCCGAGACTCAGTTTGGTGGACAGTTGCAACCACAATCGGGAGTCAAATTTCTCACCATGCGAGAGTCCGGCCCAATCTCAACCCCAACCCAAGGCTCAGTTTGGTGGACAGTCGTAACCACAACAGAGTTCAATACTCACATATCTTAAGAGGGGAGACAGGATCTGGCAGGGCCCAAATAAATACACTCCGGATGCGCACAATAAAGGAAAAGGGAAAAAATGAGACCTTTGATTTATTTTGCACATTTAAAGTAGTTTTTGTATTGATTTTGGTATGAAACTTGATTTGTTTTGTTGTTAATCGAATGCCGTTTATTGTTTTGTTGCCATTAAATTTCTGTTTACCAATGTTTTATTGTTGTTGGTGCTGTAAACAGGTTTAGGACTGGTTAAAATCAGTCTAATTTTTTTTCAGTTCTGACATAGACTCGGATTTGCGAAATCCGAACTCAGACTTTTTGTAAAGGATTCGGATTTCGTAAATCCGAGTATGTAGCCAACTGAGAGTTAGCATTTTTCAGAAAACAGAGGAGATTCGGATTTCAGTAATCTGAATCTACATTTATTCGGATTACCGTGATCGGGGTTTTCCCAAATTTAATTTTTCAACACATATTTTTTTTATCCAGAAATTAATATTTTATTCGTGAATACGGATTTAGAAAATCCGGATTTAGATTAGTTACACTAATTTTTGTCATTAACTTAATATCGGATTTACGTAACACAAAGTCGGATTTCTATAATCCGAGTTTAGAGAGGTTCGGATTTCTGAAATTCGAATTTCTCCCCCATTCGAATTTCCTAAATGCGGGACATATAAGTTTGTCCACAAAATTTTTGGAAGGTTTATTTTTGTCCAGGTATATATAAGGAAATATATTTAAGGTTTATTTCTCATGTTTCCGTCCATGAGTGGCTTAATAAACCATACCATTGTGTGCACTTTAAAAGTTAAAATACAATGGTATTTAACTTTATATTACCATTTTAATAACTGGAAAAACAAAATAGTAAAATTGACTTTTACCAAAAGTACGACCGAATATGTCTAGTGAAGACGGTAGAGAAACTAATATAGTAATAATAATGTACAACGCGGTAGCGAAATTTTGACATGCTTTGACTTATATAAATCTATTTAGTATATTAGTCGCTTACATTGTCTGTGAATAAGAAAGACATGAAATGTAATGAGTTGTGTTAGGGCTAAAGTATGTCCATTAAAAAGAAAAATTAATTAGAGGTCGGCATCGGATGAATAAGTAAATTATTCACTGGTAAGGGACTAGGTTATGAAAAGTAAATGAATAAATAAAGTAGAATAAAGTAAATAAATAAATAAATAAATATGTAAATGTATCATTTTTTTGGTCAAATGAAAATGAATCATTTAGAAATGATGTTGGTCAGGATTTTCTTTCTGATTCAAGGGATTTATTCAGTTATTCTATTATGAGGTTTTGTTCTTAATTTATTGTTCTTGCCTATAATTTAAGTATTTGTTTATTCTTGTATTGAGTTGTGAAAGTAGATATTATTCAAATGGACAACTTGATTTGTTATTTATTTTCTAGTGCTATCTGCTAGTTGAATGTTACGTAATAGACAAGAACCGGCAGTACTGAGTAGCAATTAGACAAAGCATGCGTATTGGTGAGACATTGAATATGCATGTTAGTTTAAATGTAGAATCAATGAGGCAAAGTCTGAATAGTTACAACTATCTCAATTGTTTAGATTTTGGTTCAACTATATTTCCTTGGTATTTATGCTGTCATTGTTTGGTATGGAACGCTATCGTGCCCAACCGAATTATGATAAGAACTAATTGAGTGCTAGGCTTTGTTAGTTAATTTATGGAGATTAATTGATTTATTACGGCTATCTTAATAGATCTTTGGTTGAATGCTTAAATTGCAAGAGGAGTTTTAGTAGCCTGTGATTAATGAAATAATTGAGTTATCCATCCATTGAGTCAGAAGTCTGTTAATTTGATTTCTTTTCATTTATTTAGTTTTTGTTATTTGAATTTTATTATCATAGATTTAGAATCCAAAAATTCATCTTTGCATTAATTTGAAGGAAATAATCTATTGTTCCCTGAGGAGACGACCTTACTTCTCTATACTACGTAGTTTGAAGTAGTTAATTTATTTGTTTGGCTTGACACCCAATCATGTACACCTCCATTTTATATACATCCACACTCTATGTATACTAACTCCTAAACTTTGCAGATAATTAATCTCAACAACTTTCAGCTTTCACAAGAATTCAAAATATTTGTTTTCACAGCAATCTTGATCTGCTCCGCTCTGCTGCCAACTATTGCTACTTCGCCTCCAAATCTTCTTGAATTCCTCTCAATCCATATGTGATACACTGCTGCATTCAACACTGCATACAACACATTCTTTTTAATAGTTTCATATCTCCATATTCTTTGTATCTGTGTGCTGTTCATTCCTACTAATGTAGTCCTACATCAAAGCTAATTCAGCAACTCTTGCATTATTTCCTCGGAAAACTGACATTGAAAGAACAGATGGTCTACTACTATATTCAGGTTTAGGGCATTTAATTCGTTAGCCTTAAATAGACATATAGACCATTTTTTCTTTTTGTTTTCTTTTTTTTTTTTTTTTGGTTTACACTGAACCTAAAAAGCTACTAACCTTAGTTTGTAGACGCCAAATTGGCTCCAGTCTGACCATTTCAATGTCTTTGTTTGTGTCTAACACTGATACTGAAACTTCAAACGCAACTAGCAGTATTCGTTTTAAAAAGTGCATCTTGCACTCAAAAAAACAATGTATTTAATTTATTGAATTAAAACAGAATAATAAAATGAGATGATAGAAGTAATTAGCCTATTTTTTGTATTGAGATAGTAGTTGATACAAAAGAAAGAAAAAAAAAAAAGAAAAAAGGAAAAAAACGCATTGCGCGCGTAGTGCTACATCAGATTAATTAATTGTGGGGTATGATCCGGATCGGAAGACCATGCTCCGGAAAAGGTGTCATGTGATACTAAACATTCTCCTTGGGATCAAGTAATTCCAACTTAAATCTGGTGACCACATTATACATGAATACAAGTATTTGAACTCGAGCATAGTCTCTTCAGGGGCAAATTCTAGGTCCGCCTCCAAAGGGTACGTATGTGTACGGTGCCGGTCCATTTCCTTCAAACCTCGATGGATGGAATTCATCAGGATTCAGAAAGTATTTGGAGTCTTTATGTGTTGAATACACGCTCCAAAATGTCTGGACAAAATGTAAAATGAAATGGAGGTAACAAGTATATATGTATACTGTTATATATATATATATATTAAGGTTAGTTTAGGGATATTGTTGTAATCTTATTGTTGTCATGTATACTATAAATATTGTTATACAGTATAACCCTAACGGGGTCTTCACTTCTATACGCTCAAAATCAATATAAATTCGTGCATAGCATACATGAAGCATTGAACTACCTTCCAACCTTCGGGAATTGTAAAACATTGGAAACTAAGATCAGTTATAACGTGACCGAATGCTCCTGCCGAGGGTGGCATTAACCTTAGTATTTCACGTACCAAGTTCCAACAATATTTCATCTTCTGGATATCACTCCAATTCAGCAGCTCTTCCTCCCCTTTGGTGCTAGCAATATATATATATATATATATATATATATATATATATATATATATATAAATAATGTGTCAAAAACAAATACTTCCTATGTTCCAAAATATAATATTTATTATTATATTCTCTCAATTCCATTAAAAATAATCCACATTGTTAATGTTAAATTGTATAGTTTTTAACTTTTCGGTACAATTTATAATTTACAATGCAGATTATTTTGTGTAATATACAGATCGAGTATTATGATTTTATTAATATATTAAATATATTATTTATTTTGAAACAGGAAAAGTAGTATAGTTGGTTCCGCAGACTTGATCTTGAAGTTTCCTTTTTTTTTTTTCCGTTTCCAACTAACTTCTAAGTATATAGCTTCTAATAAATTTCCAATCAAATTTAATGAGTGGGACAGTAACTAGATGCGTGGATTTCCGACGTGGGAGACACCTCTCAAATGTGCAAGTAAGGTTTGTATTGTATGTGTAGATTATTTTTATTTTTTTTTATTGTCAACCTATTCATTTCAAATAAGTAATTAGTAACCAATTTTCTAACTTCATTTCGGATCACAAATAATGGACTTCCTGTTTATAATCAAGAGTAGTGTATGTGAAGATGCATACTTCTAATAACATTAATTTTCCTAACATTACTAGAAGACGGGATAACATTTACCTGTGTAAACCTGGGTGTAGATATGAGGAAGTTGGGCAAGATATTTGAGCAGAAACGTGATAGCAGCGGTAATGTCATCGTAGGCAGGAAGCAGAACACCCGTCAAAGCATTCCACACATCTTTTTCCCTGATAAAACCCTTGTTATAAGTTTTGGATCGAAACAGAATATGAGTCAAAAGACCCACACTCTGTTCACCATCATCATCAACGTGACCCTGTTGAATCTTTCCAATAATCGCCTTCAAAATCCCTTCCTTCGAAATCTTGCCAGCTCTCATAGCTTTGCTGTAGCCGGTTCCAGGCAAGTCAACGGGCAAAGAAAACATAAAAGATTCCTCCAAATAAAAATACCGTTTCAACGTATCAACATTCATTAGGGCCTGATCATCATCATCGTCACTCATGCCCAAAAATATCCTACACGCAAATGAAAATACCACCTTCTTTGATAGAGGATAAACTTTGGTGTCTTCAAAAGGTGACCAATCATTCTGTATTTGTTTCCTGGTCATGGAATCCATTATGGGTATCCAAGCTAAGAACTCCTAAACAAATACCCGAGTTAACTGAGTTGCGTCTGACACTGACCAACTTTTAGGCAAAGGGAACCCTAATGGCTTACCAAATGCCGCCTGCCACCATGGATTGATATTCTTAAGATCTTTTGAGAACAGGAATTTGTTCCCTTCTCTAGAATCAAAGCAATTTGGTTCATTTTGATAATCCGAATTGACAAAATCAAATTAGGGTTTAGACTTGAGAAGGAAGAAAGAAAATCAATTCATTAATTCCTCAATTGAATCGGACAACAACTGTTTGCATTTATAGCAAATCAGTTAACCGACTTTTGAAAACAAAATTACAAAAGTAGTCCATACCAATCTATCAATTACAAAAAGCCTAGTCAACTCTCAGAAATATTGCAATTACGTCCCTACAGATTTATTATGATCAACATGATCATGACTACTATCTTGCTTTTGATCCAATGCTTCTACATCCCCCTCCCCCAACAAGCCGGGCCAAAAAGAGCTTTTAGGCCGAGCTTGGACAACAGCTGCACCATCTGAGGATGAGGAAGGGAAGCCAACTGAGAACTTGTAGCCACATGGAGAGGGACAAGGAAGCCACTTAGGTAATGATGTCTAGCAAAATGACAATCAACTTCCAAATGCTTTCTCCTTTCATGGAAAACTAAATTTTCAGTCATGTAAATAGGTGACTGATTATCACAATAGAGAGGAATGGGCAAATGCAATGGAATATGGAAATCTTGAAGAAGATAAGAAATCCAAAGCATTTCTCTAGCTGTGTAACACCTGCTTCTGCATTCTGCTTCTGCGGATGATACACAAAGACGGGTTTGCTGTTTGGCCTTCCAAGAGACAAGAGAAGACCCAAGAAACACACAGAAACCACTAACTGGCGTCCTATGAACTAGATTTGAAGCATAGTCTGCAACATAATAGGCTTCCAACATGTAATCATTGACAGAAGAATAAAAAAGCCCTTGAGAAGGAGTGCCTTTTATATATTTGAGAACATGAATGAGAGCCTCCCCGTGTTTTTCACAAGGCTGATGAACGTGTTTACTAAGCTGTTGAACTGAAAAGGAAAGTTCAGGTCTAATGAAACAAAGGTAGAATAATTGTCCAACTATCTTCCTGTATTGAGAATGATTACTGATGGGAGGTCCAGGAGCATCTGAAAACTGATGACCCTTAGGTAAGGGTGTGGTGGTGGGCTTGCAACCAAGGAAACATTTTTCTTGAAGGATATCTAGTATATATTTCCTTTGAGTGATATACATGCCTTTAGAGGATCTGGCAATCTCTATTCCCAAAAAGTGCTTTGCATAACCCAAATCCTTAATGGTGAAGAGATTATGTAATTACTGCTTTACTTGTAAGATTTCTGATTCATCTGACCCTATAATCAAAATGTCATCCACATATATAATTAAAGCCAGAAATAGCCCTTGTTGACACTTGATGAAAAGACAAGGATCATGATTAGATTGTCTAAGACCATATTGTTGTATTTTGGTCGTGAACTCAGTGTTCCATTCCCTAGACGCCTGCTTGAGGCCATACAGAGATCTTTTAAGCTTGCAAACTTGTGAAGAATCCCCTTGAAGATATCCCTGAGGTAAATGCATATATACCTCTTCATCCAAAGAACCATGTAGAAAGGCATTATTAATGTCCAATTGGTGCAAAGACCAATTGGAAGCTGCTGCTAAAGCCAATAAGATCCTGACTATTACTATCTTTGCTACTGGAGAGAAACTATCATAATAATCCTCGCCCTCCACTTGGTTATACCTTTAGCTACCATGATGGCTTTAAATCTATCCACACTGCGATCAGAATGATATTTTATCTTATAAACCCACTTGTTGCCAATGGCTTTCTTTCCCGGTGGCAAAGTGGTCAATTCCCATGTCTGGTTTTTCTCTAATGCATCAAGTTCAGTTTGCATAGCCTTAATCCATTCAGGTTGAGTTCTTGCTTCTTGATAAGTTAGTGGTTCTTTCAAATGACTTATGGCAGTTAAAAAGGACAAATGGTGTGATCTAAACAAAGGACCTTTATAATAAGGATAAGTAAAAGGTGTATAGGGAGAAGAGGTACCTTTTGACAGCTGTGAAGAATCATTAACCACCAAATTTACACTCTGGAGATCATAATCATTCATCCAAACTGGTGGAGTAGAATGTTTGTTACTTATTCTAAGTGGTATAATCGTTTGAATGGCTGAGTCTGGAGTAATAGTTTCAGCAGTAGGTGAAGGTGTAATAACAGGAGTATTAGAAGGTTCAATAGTGGTAGATGAAGGTTCAATTGTTTGAGAATCTGGTACAGTTGGGATAGGATTTGATGAGAAAGGTTGTGTAGAAACACTTAAGTATGGTAACTCTTTCTCATGAAAGATTACATCTCTGGATATGAAAATTCTTTTAGTGGTAAGATCATAAAGCTTATAAGCTTTCTGACCAACTAGATAACCTATGAAGACTGCTTTAAGTGCTCTTGGATCAAATTTATCCTTATGAGGTTGAACATTGGTCTCATAGCACAAACAACCAAACACTCTAAGATTAGTTAAATCAGGAGGTTTTTGGTATAGAATTTCATAAGGGCTAACATTATTCAAGATTGCAGTAGGCAATCTATTGATGATGTATGTGGCAGTGAGAATAGAATCTCCCCAAAAGATTTTAGGAAGTCCATATTGAAGCATGAGAGCTCTAGCTACTTGCAAAAGATGACTATGTTTTCTTTCTACTACTCCATTTTGTTGGGGAGTGTAGATACATGTTTTCTGATGTAAAATGCCAGCTTTATAAAAGAAACCTTGACAATCATGGCTAAAGAATTCACTCCCATTATCAGTTCTGACTTGTTTTATGGAGACTAAGAATTGAGTTTGTATAAAGGTATGAAAGGCTTGAAGAATAAACAAGGTTTGAGATTTATTGTGCATTAAAAAGGTCTAAGTACTTCTGTTGAAATTATCAACAATTGTAACAAAGTAATAGGCTCCATTAATGGTTTTCTGACGATAAGGTCCCCAAATGTCTACATGGATAAGATAAAAAATACTAGTGCTTTGAATAGAACTAGATGGAAACTGTAATCTATGCTGTTTAGACAGTGGACAAATGCCACAAATAGAGTTTGAATCATTACAAGGAAAAGGAAATCCTAGTTTATGAAGAACTTCATCTGCTGGATGACCCAATCTCTTGTGCCAGTCCACATCAGATGACTGTGATGAAAAATAAGAATGAAATGCTGAAAGGGCTTTAGGTTGTAGAAGTAGTGGATGGTTCACATGTATTGAAACAAACTGACTGATTGAGTCTTGTGTGAATGACTGATGATCCAGAACATAAAGTCGATTGATGACTCTTCCCACTGCTAAAAGTTTTCTAGTCTGTCGGTCCTGCAACACACAAAAAGTTGTGGAAAAGAAGCAATCTATGCTTGAAGTAGTGGCTAATTTATTGACTGATATAAGATTATAATTGAAAGAAGGTACATGTAAGGTGTCAGGAAGTGTAAAATTTGATGATAATGAAACATCTCCTATATGATCCACTGATTTAAAACTTCCATCTGGCAGACATAATGGTGTCAAACTAGTAAGTTTTCTATAAGGTAGGAACATGCATAAACTAGAACTCATATGGCTGGTGGCACCACTATCCAAATCCATAGAATTAAGGCTATATGATCCAAGGTATAAAGTTTATGAAAACTGCTCATACCTGAAACATCATTGAAATGAGCAAAACTGATTTGTTATGTACTAGCAGCTACCATCTTCCCCTTGACAATCTTGTTCACTTCCTGCTGCAATGCTAGCAAATTTACCATGATATTTTGCAGATCTCCATGATTTTCTGTTGTCTCAGGACCCAGTGGTGTTTCTACCATGTTGGCTGTAGGTTTTCCATAACTTCTTGATGCATCTATTGGTTTATTTCCTGGCCACCAATCAGGACAACCATGAATTTTGAAGCATGTGATCTCTGTATGTCCATTCTAATTGCAGTGATTACAGTACAACAATCTTTTAGCTACCTTATCCATTCTGAAACCATTTCCCCTTCCTGAACTCCCTGTGTTACTCATTTATCTAGGAAAATTAGTGTGATTGAAACTGCCAAAAGAACCAATATTATTGAACCCACCCGTTTGTTTAGTATTCTGTGAGTTCTCTGTGCTTCCTCCACCATTATAACCAGCAGATCGATTGTTGTACATCTGATACTGACCACCTTTGTGAGAAGGCACAACACTATTTTCTGTCAATTCTCCATAAGTCATATTAACAACCTGTTGTTTTTCTACATTCAATACCATTGAATATGTCTTCTTCACTTTTGGTAAAGGCTCAAGCATCAAAATGCGGTTTCTAACACCATTGTAAATAAGTCCAGTAAGAAATTGCATCAACTTAACTCTATTCTCCCTGGTACTAACTTGCCGATTAAAACGACAAGTACATCCACCACATTCACAATCATCAGGAGGATCTGTCAGTGCTAATTCATCCCATAAACGCTTCAATATAGAGTAATAAGAAGCCAAGGAGACATTACCCTGCCTGATAGTACAAATTTTTTGCCAGAGATGGTAAATTTGCGGTCCATTCACGTTGTTTTATCCATCTTTAAGCTCTTCCCATAGTTCTTGTGCACTGTCTACAAGGTTATAGTTCTCTACAATTCCATGTGATATTGAATTTAAGATCCAAGATACCACATAACCATTGACACGGTTTCACTGCTCAAAGTCTAGTGACCTAGGGTTTGGCCTAAGCATAGATCCGGTGACAAAATCGAGCTTATTCTTGGTTCCCGAAGCTCGCCGGACGGCGTAACTCCATGAGACATAGTTGGCGTCCGTCAATTGAGCAGTTACCAGCATCGTAGCTATATTATCCGAAGGTAACAAAGTAAGTGAATGAACATAACCTTCGTAATTAACATCTTCAACTTCCTCTCGCTGAAATCCGTCAGCATTCTCATCTGGATCTCACTACTCCCTTTGAGCTTCGCGATTCCTTACCATTTTTTAGTTTTTCTGACGAACTCTCGTCTCCAATCAATTACTTTGAAAACAAATCCGGTAAAAAGAAATAACGCAGCGGAATGATTCAGAGCAGGATTAACCCGCTTTGATACCATCTAGAATCAAAGCAATTTGGTTCATTTTGATAATTAGAATTGACAAAATCAAGTTAGCGTTTAGACTTGAGAAGGAAGAAAGAAAATCAATTCATTAATTCCCCAACTGAATCGGACAACAACTGTTTGCATTTATAGCAAATCAGTTAACCGACTCTGGAAAACAAAATTACAAAAGTAGTCCATAACTATCTGTCAATTACAAAAAGCCTAGTCAACTCTTAGACTTATTGCAATTACGTCCCTACAAATTTATTATGATCAACATGATCATGACTACCGTCTTGCTTCTGATCCAATGCGTCTACACCTTCTACGCCGCAAAACACTGCCATGTTTTTCTCACCCATCCGTGAGGTTCTGAAAACCACGCCATCTGATCCAGATGAGCACTGGTACTTTTCATCCTGTCCTGGATGAATTTTTCAGGCGCGAATGATATCAGATCCATCATTTCTCCAACGAGAGGAAATTCCGTTCTTCCTACCGGAAGCTGTCGGCTGTCATTCTTACTCTGTTTCTTACAAAAAAATAAACAAGTAAATGAAGGTCAAAGTAGCTATGATTACTCCTACAACGGATGGAAAATCAATGGAGTTGTAGTACTCCTCCATGTCTAATTTCTTCTCTTTTTTCCTTTCTCCTCTCTCTCTCTCTCTCTCTCTCTCTCTCTCTCTCTCTCTCTCTCTCTCTTTCCCCGCTATTTTAAGAGAATTTTTTGATACCTGCAGCGCTACTGTTGAAAATAACATGTGATGAATGGAAGATTTTTTAAAGAACCTTGATTAACTTGTCTACGTGTGGCCGAGGGTTTTTGAAAGTTTTTTTTTTTATAAATGACGAATAAATTAAGGCAGCCCCTATTGACATCAACGCGCAGCCTAGTAACAAGATATTTCTCTTACTTTCATTAGAGTTTAAATCATTTTGGGATAACTTATAAACAATTATTACTAAAACTTTTTTTTAATCTGTCACATGAAGGTATGTACACATATTAATGAAATAATGATCAAAACTCTAATTTTTAGGTGTAATATCTTTCTTGTTCTTATATTGAAACTATATAATAATTTAAAATTAAAATAAAAAAATGATAGTTGTTATTAACATGTGTTATTAAAAGTACAGACAAATACGTTTAAAATCGAAAAAATGTATTTAATGTTGAATTGAAAATAGAAACCGACACATAAAAACGTAAGGCTACTGTCTTTAGAGTTTAGCCTATATTTAAAACATTAATTGTGGTGTTTAAGATGTGCCGAAGGTGATTTAATGTGTGTATAAATTGTTGGAACTTTTTAATTGTCAGAATATAGTCCCTGAACCTTGGTTTGGGTTGTGTTTGGGCATGGACTCGATTTTCGGGGATTTCTAGGTCCTTCGAACCTTGAGTGATCACTTGTCTATGTGTGGCGAAGGTGATTCCAGTCCCAAAACTGTTCCATGACCTCTTTTGTCCTAGGTTAGGGTACTGTTTGAATGCGAGGGCTTTTAGTATGGAACGTGTAATCGCTCTTCTCAAACTTGGAAACGGAATGTAAATAAGTGAAACTAAGGAAGATCGAATTCCGCAATTTTGAAATGGTTTGTCCTTGGTTTGGTCATGATATACCAATTGTGGAAGCATATACGTCTCCTCTATGTTTAATAACCAAGTTGCAATGTATAAACTATTTGCAACCAAAAAATTTAAAAAATAAAATAAAATCCACCAGTATCTTTATTTCACCCAACTGCACGACAATCATTGTATAAAACTTTCTGTAATAAAATAAAATCACCTTCGGATTTATGCGTTTGAATAACAAATTTGAATAAAATCCATGAGATATCAAAATAGTATGGGTGCCCTTCTGTGGCTAGATGAGTCGGTTTTAAAACCTTGGAAACATGCTGTAATAAACTAAAAATTCGAGACAATTGCCTCTTTTTTTTTTTGTTGAAAAAAAAAAGAAAAAGAAATTTAGCATTGGGAGCAAACATAGATTGAACAAATGACTTATCAAATGATTTAGCCCTGCTTCTCCTTTTCATCATCGACAGAAAATGTCTGGTCTGAGATTCAGTCATTGTACAACGTGCATCACTTCGACAGATTGATGGCTTCTAATATATTTGCGAGTACAAAATAAGATGCTCAATAAAAAAAGGGAAAACAAGAGAGAAGGTATCGTCGAACGATGAGCAAAGTAATTCATAAAATAGCTGGGTAATTAAATTTCTACTCGTACACATATTATATATACTTCAACTTTCAATCTTCATGGCGATAAAGACGAATAGGAAGGCCTTGAGCTGGAGTTTGAATCGGAAAATATGAAATTTTCTCATTTGGGATGATTTGTTCCCATTTGAACTCATTCAACACATAATGTAGAAAAGTGAGTATCGCAAGCCTCGCATACTCATTTCCAGGGCACATTCGTGATCCTCCTCCAAAAGGAATGAAAGTGTACGGAATCGGACCATCTCCCTCAAACCTTGACGGATCAAACTTTTCAGGATTCTGAAAGTATTTTGGATTATTGTGTGTGGAATGTAGAAGCCAATGAACCTGTGAAATAGTAGCGATAAAATATTGCTAACAATGTCAATATATTGAACTAATTCGGGTGTTAATTTTATGACTAAAAAGTTTTGATACTATTTGTAACACTACCTTCCAGCCTTTTGGAATTGTGTATCCCTCGTATTTGATATCAGTGAGAGCTTCCCTAAAACCGCCAACCGCGGGTGAACATTGTCTAAATACTTCGCATACCACATTCCATGAATACTTCATCTTTCTGAAGTCCTCCCAACTCAGTTTCTCTCTTGGATGGTTTGAACTTGCTATTTCCTTTTGTTCTGAATTTCTCAAAGTTATAAAAAAAAATAATTAGACAATAATGAAGACAATTTGATAGTACGTACAAAAATTATTCAGAATCTAAAATGGCGTACAATTTGTAAATAATCTCATTCTCTTTTATATATATTATGTAGAAAAGCCAAAAGGAGGGTCAGGTGGAATAGTAAGAGTATAGGGCCAGAAAACAAAGAAATACAATTAATATTACTCTATTTAGTCCAACTTTGGACATCTTGCAAAATATTACTCCATTTAGTTGATATTATGAGACATTTTAATTTATCCCAAATTTAATATACATAGTATATTTTTTAAATTGAAGGTAAAGCCTAAAACTAACAGTACCGTATTTTCACATTTATTTTGATCTCCCCATCATTACAAAATATTTTTAAAGTTTTATTTTCAATTGGAAGAATATTTTAATTAGAACAAATTAAAATGTCTTATAATCAGGGACGGACCTAGGGGGGAGCAAGAGGGGTCCGTCGACCTTACGGTGGGAAAATTTTTTCGAAAAAATACCTTTATATTTTTCTATATTTTTTGGGAAAAAAGAAAATTCTAATTGTAGTCGACCCTACAAATATTCGAGACTAGTTCCGTCACTGCTTATAATAATGACAGAAGGGAGGAAGTATATATCTGCGTACCTTTGAGGACGGAATCATACACACAAGGATGCTCAGCAAGGATCTTGATGAGCATTGTAAGTGTGGAGTGGAGATACGTGTAGCCAACTTCGATCAAACCAACCAAATGGCTGGCAATGTCTTCGTCCTTGAGGACTTGACCATTATCATCTACCGATGAAAGCATACGTGCGATGAAGTCCTTCACTAATATTTCTGTTGGAATGCTCTTCTTCTCTGACCCAAGAAGGTTTCTTCTGTGCCTAATCATTGTCTCAATTTTTGAACGCATAACTTTAGAAGCTTTGATTCCACAATTAAGAGTTGTGCCTGGCAGGTTGATTGGCGCTGCAAAAAATGCTGCTTCAATATCATCCATTCCTGTCACGATTTCATCGATTTCGTTCTGGTCATTGATGCCTAAGAAAACATTGCATCCCAGAGCCAATGTGTATTTCTTTGCCAATTCCCTTGCTTTCACCACATCTTTGCCTTTCCAATACGTTTCCAGATGCTTTTTCATTACCATATCCATGATCCCAACGCATTCGCGAAGCCCATCGACTTTTTGAATCAATGGCGAGATGATACCGCGTAGCCTTTTCGCGTGCACCTGCGCAGGCTGATTATCGGACTTTGGGAAGATCTTATCCGCTGTGCTAGGCCACCATACTTGAAACAAACTGTTCTCATTAGAAAACAAAAACTTGTTTCCTTCAGCGGTTCCAAGTATCACCATTTGGTGTCCCAGCAACGATGTCCTGAAAATCTTGGTCGAAAATTGCTCCATTCGATCCCTCACGAATTTAAATGGAAACCCTTTTCGAGTATTCAAGTAATAATCCAAAGTTTCACCAATTAAAGGAAATCCAGTTCTCCCTGGAGGAAGCCTAAGCTCTTCTTCATCAGCAGTGTAGCTGCTGGAAGAGTACTTGTTTCTATTAACATTAGGGAACAGGAAAAGACACAAAATTGAAAATATGACTAGAATTACGGACCAGAAAATGTGTGATAGTTCCATGTTTGCTACTATTTCTTTTTTTATTTTTTTTTCCTGATTGGAGACAAAGAAGACACTGAAACAAATTAATGAGGATGACCTTGAAGGCTTGAGCTTGAACTCCAGTTTTTCGAGATTTATATAGCCCTGTGGCAATGTAAGAAAGTAAAAATATAAAATAAAATTAATCGAATAAATAACATTTATAAATCGTTTAGCCATTCCTTTTGGTCTTCGTTGATACAGTATATTCTATATAATCCACATTTATTATTATTATCATGCGACTTTCGAATCCACTAGGAATTCCATTTGGTAAGTACTTTCCTTATCAGTTTCACATTTAATTAATGGTCAGAAATCAATAGCTAGCTGCACATTGAATTAATGCTCCAAACCAAGTTCAGGACTGCTTCTTCTTTTTTTTTTTTTTAATGATTAATTTTAATTATTTTTTGACAGAATTCTAAAGCCAGACATAGGCATGATTTAATTAAGCTGAACCTATATTAAGGTACAAAATGCAACGGATGATAATTTATGTGTTGTTGCCTAAGAAAATATTAATTGCATCATCCATTTCCATATGAATATATGATCTAATGTGTGTTGTTGTTAATGTTTGAATCCTAATGAAACTTGAAAAACTTCAGTTTATTTAAACCTTTAGTTCTCAAGAGAAGAATATTATACATTGTGAAAGACGAAGTGTACCATTTTGGGAGCCATTTTTCCTAGAGTCAGAATCAGTACCATTCTATTTACGCAGAACAACTCAACACGTGAATAGCCACTCCACTTGCGTAAGGCCTGGAGTGGAGGGAAAGTCAGTAGGGCAAATTGAAAAGATTTAGTCAATTAAAGATGAACAAGTTTGCATAAGGGATAAATGTTGATGTGTGGTGCATTAATGGAATGCATGAATATGAGAGGAATTCAACCAATCTCATTTTCAATTCCTTCGCTCGCTTATTTGTTCCATGATCACAATTCTACAAAGAGTTGCTTTTCATCAATATTAGTCCTTTTTTAATTGGAGTGGATCCACTTGGGTATGTATATTGTCAATGATTTTTTTTAAAAAAAATAAAAATAAAAATAGAGTAAATGCTCCATTTGTCTTTTACCCTATCTAAGTAGTCGAAAATGATTGTCCAGTTTAAATTTTATTCTTTACACAAATTGCACAACATAACAATATTTTGAGATAGAGGAAATAAAAGTAAAAATAGAGCATTTTACTCTATTTTTAATTAAAAATAAGTTCATCGAGTTCTTGGTGAAATTCCAGAAGAAAAAATGAAGAAACTAACTAAATGTTTTACAATAGAAAGAATTTTTCTAAGATGACAATTTCTTTTCTTTCTTTTTTTTTTGGCTGAATCTAGCTATCTTATTCACTCAAAAAAATAATGAATCTGGCAGTACATTATCTTTTTATACTAATGATCTATACAAAAGATTCTAGATAATCTAATTTTATGTCCATATGATATCTTCAGAGTTAGTATTTCTGTCTCATTTTCAATTTGTTATACTCTCTCTTTTTTAAAAATAATTGTTTACATTGAATTTGAAGTTTATATTACTCTGCTTACAAATTTGAATATTCAAAGTCTACTATTTTGTTAAGGACAGAAATACTCTTATTTTAGTTCAATAAAATAAACTCTTTTTGGACTTTAATTAATTAACTGGGTCCATCAATTAGTGAAATTCATAGTGTTCAAATAAAAATTTCTAAGGAAATTTTGTAATTAAGTTTTGTTTTCTTTCTTCTTTTTTTTTTTTTTTGAACCAGGTAATTAAGCTTCAAATGTTGATCTTTTGTTCTTTTATATTAGATGACGCTGTTTGACAAGTCTTCTATTCATTTGAAATTTCGAATCGTTACTATGTACTATGTCCCCAAAAATAGATAGCTATGTGAATGTCGATAGAAATGATATTTCTGTGAATGAAACATGAAGTTATTAGAAAACTTTCTCTAATGTTTAGGGAAATGACTAAAGGATACTTAGCAATTTTATTTTTTTTTATAACATGGATACTTATCAATTTTGTATAGTCGTCTTTGTCGTTGAGTCCAAAGTGCTATCCGTACAGATTTCTAGGACGATTTCGTTTGGGTCTATTTTACAAACAGGCTAGGATATAGTACCTGGTAGCCTGGGTTGATGATGAAAATTGGGATGCACCGAACAGTACAGAACAATAAGTAAAGCCCGAAATGTTTAAAAAAAAGTGGTTCGGCTTAAGAAAGACAAAGAAGAGTCCAATTCATGATAGGGAAGAAGAGGATTTGACGAGGTAAAACGAACGACATTAAACTACGTTTCGATCGTGTTTTAATGGGAATCCTTAATGTCAAAACAATTTTTGGCCATTTTTGACCATAATACTCTTAATGAAAAACATATAAACTCATGTTCACAGAGGATATTGTTGTCGAAAACGGCCAAAAGTTGTTTTGGCCCCTAATTTATGTTTTGGCATTAAGGATTTCCAAACCGTTAATGTGTCTTTAAGTATTTTTTTATGGATATAATGATTCATTCAAGAAAATTTCACACAAATTTTTACAGAGAATGAATGATAACTGTTCATATTCATATATTTCATTTAAGTGTTTATTCATTTAAAGGTTAAGGCATACAATTAAGATTCAGTCATTGTCATTCCTTATAAATTATCTTATCAAAATTTTCTTGTATGTACTATCCTCACTCTTTTTTATTGAGAATGTAAAAGTATATTAAGAAAGTAAAAAAGTATGTTGAGATAAGACTTTATTAATATTAAATTTTTTTAAAAAAATAGCTAAACAGAGCCTAAATGCCTTCTAATTTAAAACATATATAGTACAAGTGTAATTAAAAAAAAAAAAAAAAAGGATCATCTACTCCGTCTTGGTGTTGCATTTTTTCTTACTTCCCAAACATTGAAAATGAAGTACATTTCGAGGAAGTAATCTTACCAAAACATTTTTGCACCGATTTCAGAACACCTTGAACCACATCACAACGCCTCAATAGATGGGGTGTTACAAGTCGTGCGACGGTGATTCGAGCTAACTATATATGTTTGCTTGTAGCTAGGTTTCTAACTATATGTGTTTGCTTTCGTTTTCTGTATCGGTAGACGTATACCTTTAATGTTTCAACTAACTGGAAGTTTTTTTCTTTCCACGAGTTTTGTGACCATTGTTGGTCTTTCCTACGCTTTATGCGCAAGAAGTACAAAACTCGAGTTTGAGACAATGTTTGTTCAAACTAAGAAGGAATTAAGTGGTTGAAGGTCACTCATTGGTTCAAATTCAGCTTCTATTTTCTTAGGGGAAAAAATGACACTGGTTACCCAAAAGTTCAAAAGGATTTTACTCTAAAATCAATTGATAATAGAGAGAGCAACTTGTTACATATATATATATATATATATATATATATATATTTGGAACTCTCTCACGGATCAGGTTTGCACCCAACAAATATTCTGAAAGTTTAATTATACTCCGAATTCAGCTTGTATTTTTGCCACTAGTGTATTACACATGTCACCATTTGAAAATATTATATCATGTCACGATAAGGCGTTACATCTATTTTCCATAGTATTTATTAAGAGAAATAAATTTCAAGGTATTAATACAATTAGAGAAAAACTTTTTGGCTCTGAAATACTCCCTTTTTGTTTACTAAAAAAAAAGACTAATAAAATAAAGTCGACTGAAAAAACAAGCTCCCTTTATCTTAAAATGATGGTGATATGAAGCTACAAAAAAAAAAGATTGTAAAGTTTTGTATTATTTTTAATATGAAATAAACATATTTTTCCCAGCACCGACTTCATAATTTGGGAGGCCCTTCATCCATTTTTTTTTCACTTGAGCAATTGTAAAGATTTTCCTCTAAGTGTTTGTCATTTTTACATAATAAATAAGCAAAAAATTTTCGAAGAAAACACAGCTGGAGAAAAATAAAACTGCAACTTATGTATCCAAACGTAGCATATAATACTAATAATTTCCTAAATAATTATTGATTTTTTCAGGAGAATTTTAAAACAAAAAAGTATTGAAGTATACGACTACTTCAATTTTAAACTACAGTCTGTTTTGATTCTCGGTAAGAAAAAAAGGGTCTCTTCTTTTGCCTAGTAATGTTGTTACTCTAACAAAGAAAAAAAAAAAAAAAAAAGAAAGAGAGGGACCCCTAGTAATGTTGCTGCAAAGGAAATATAATCAGAATTCATCAAAAAAATTTTAAAAAAAGGTTGATTCAAAATCATCTCATTTTTTTCCAAACTAAGTCAGCCCATTTTTGTTTTAAAGAAACAGCCCGAGAAAATAATCCTACCCTAATCCATTTATCCAAGATTTTGGGGTACATTCTCATCTTGGACTTGAGCCTTGCACCGTTAGCACTCTTCCGGAGATGGTCGTGAATTGCAATTTTATTCTTTTCTAGACTTGCAGAAATAGTACTTCAAGGCCCATTACGCCTCCAAGGTCTTTTGGTCTTCTTGGCATCTGTTATTGTGACACAAATCTTTTTAATTTCTTAAGAAAAAACAGTTTGAGAAGGTTCAATTAGCTGAAATAAATTTTTAGACTAACGGTTACTGATTTATTGATTTTTTACTTTTTACTTATTCGACTGAGACTTTGTGTCCGATCATAATCTAGATATTTTGATATGTAGATTTTGAAGAGGCTGTAGGGATCACAAGGTAAGCACAAAAATTAATCAAACGTAACCATGCAGATCTGGAGTGGGTAGCCAATGAAGACCACAGATTGGTAAGGGAGTACAAGTTTCTAATTCATAGTAGTTGCAGTCAATCGAAAGATCTTGTAAAATTTCTTTTTTCAATTTGATATTTTCTTTGGTAATCAGATTTGTTGCTGTATAATTTGTCTTGTTATTATCTAATGTTGTATTGTGTTAAGTTCCTTTTTTTGTCATTTCATTGAAAAAGATGGAAACTAACACAATACAAAAAAGATAGAGCCTAACACAATG